TAGGTTGGTAGGTCGGTTTCGTTTGTTTAGGTTAGTTAGGTTAGGGTTAGGGTAAAGGTAAAGTAAGTTAAGTTAGTAAGTAAGTACGTGTACTACTTCTCTCTCTCTCTCTCTCTCTCTCTCTCTATATATATATATATATATATATATATATATAGCCACATACACACACACAAAAACCTGCATTTTCTTAGAGAAAATCTGGCAACTTTTGGGGAGGATCTGGAATTCTACCCACTCTATTTCTAGTGCCCAAGCAAGTTTTCTACACCCTTTTCTTTATTTGTTTGTTTTATATTTGAAAACCTCAGAAAATATCTTTGGGTTTTTAGGATTTTTTGAAGGAAATAAATTTTTTTAAACCAATGAAATAGGTTGTTTCTTGTATCCAGTTTAATGGTTGTTTTTGCTTTAATAAGTTTATTGTTGTTAATTTTGCTCATTTGATAACTTATATGCATTTTTTATATAAATACGAGGTTTTTATGGTTTTCTTTTCTTACTTGCTTTTTTTATTTTATTTTTGGTTCTAACACTCCAATATATCCATACAATGGACTTTGGGTCCTTTCAGCTTTTTTTTTTTTCTTTTTTTTATCTCTGCTAATGTGATTTTTTTTTTTTTTTATACATTTTTCTTTAATGCGAAAATTTTAACTATGGAGAAACAAATGTTGATTTTGTTTTTGTTCCTTTAAATTTTTTTTCCGAGTTTTCTACATTTTCTCATTTTCCCATAATTTTATCTATTTTTTGTGTTTTTCCTTATTCATTTGATTGGTATGACTGGTGAATTGGTCAAATTCGATTCATGGTCCAATACCCTTACCGGTCCAGCCACTGGTCTAGTCTTAACAACACTCAGATGATGAACCCAACATTTGCATTATATCCTATTTTGGTGGGTCGCACACTTTCTCCATGACTGCTTGTGGTCTCATTGGGTGATCATGATCTCAGTCTACTATGCATTTCTTGGAGGAAAAATATTTCATATGGCCGGCTGCATCGTAAACCTCTCCAGTAAAACCAGATCCGGCTCTATAAACTCCACAAATCCATCATCGCCACCTTGATAATTGTGGACTGGAGCTATATATATATTCAAGTCCTAAAAATGGTCCAGCTTGCAACATACTCTCTTGAATGTCCATCCAGTCTTCATAGATTTGCCAGATAGACACTGTTTTTGGAGCTCCAAATTCCATAGCCAGGGGCAATAATGGATATGCAAGCTATCACAAGGTTTCCAACAATGTTTGGAGGTGCACCTGCACCATGGCCATGCCAAAACCTCATCCTTTCTTTATTATCTGTTGGATTATTGCATACTTTCCTTTTTCTTGTCCTTTTAAATGGGAGATACCTTTTTGAGTGTTTTAACTTCAACATTTCTCAGGCGTATGATATATGGTCAGGTAGAACAATCTTGACATTCAGAGGCCACTACGAGTGCGTAAACTGTTGCTGGTTCAACTCGCAAGATCAGGTATAATTTGCCATTCTCTGTACATGATGTGATGTGTTGTGAAACAAATCATATGTGTTTTTCCTGATTTTTAAGGTAAATGCTTCATGTTTAAATGTGATCTTATAAATAATAATACTGCATATTCTTTCCTCTTGCTTTATATGTTCTGTTTCTCGAAACATGAGCTTCTGAGAGGTGATTCTTTGTAGAAATGCAATGAAGGTTTCAAATTTGGTCCATGCATATAGTGTGGTGTGCTCCTCCTGATCCTTGCTTTTAACCCTTTAATGTCAGGAGCTATACACAGGCAGTAATGACAGGCAAATTCTCGTCTGGTCACCTGATTCAATGGTCGAGGAAGAGGTAAGATGTCACATTTCAGGCGGTAATGACAGGCAAACTCTCTCTCTGATCCCGCCCTCGAAGCCCCAACATTGTTTGAGTTAAATGTTATAATTTGCGTATGGCCCAACTATATATATTAGGGAAACTAACATAAATTAACAGATAGATCCCTTTTCTTATGAAATTTACAAATGGTCTTAAATTTTTTAAATTTTATTGGGAAGTCCCTTTTCTTGTCAAATTTTTTTGTTTACCAAAGTAACCTTGATTAGACCCTTGAACTGCTTTCTTCTGTTTCTTCTTCTTATTCTTTTTTGTTGACTTGTTAATGAGCATTTTGACCACTTTTTTTTATTTGTTATAAGGGTCGAACCGCTCCGCTCTCTTCCTTTTTTTTTTGTTAACAAGTGGCTTCTGTAAGTGTAGTGTGCACACCACATGCTAGTTCAATCGTTGAAAGGATCGAGAAGGCACTAGGGTCAAACGAACCTTTGTAAGTTTGTTGTCTAGACCACGTGCGGGCTTAAACCAGCTAGTGTGAGCACCAGATCAACCCTTTGAGGTTAGAACTAGCTCATGTTTGCACACCACATGCCAATTCAACTCTTCATAGGTTGAAATTGCTTGTGATGTGTGAACAGCCATGTTTTCCAGAACTGGAACTAGTTAGTGCTCTCACAAGAACCTTCGAGGGTTAAAGTTGCATGTGGTGCAAACCACCTCATGTTCTGGATGCTGGTTTGACCCCTGAAATTGATAAACACTCTCTCTCTCTCTCTCTCNCTCTCTCTCTCTCTCGTGTCGTGTCGACGTCGACGACGACGAGTAGAGTGAG